CATTAGCATCGAGCTCCGCCTTGGCCTCCTCTTGTTTGAAAACATACCACGCCGGTTGTTTTCACTTACGTGAAACCCTGCGAGGTGTAAGCCCCGTATGTGTGGGCCCTCCCTCCCCTTGAGCCTGGGCCTGAAGCGAGAGAACCGCAGTGCTAATACACAGACGTAGCAACGCCAGGTCCCCTTCTGTGTCCACATGTCCATCACCCAATCGCCCGACGCAACATCACATAGTTGTTCAAAGTTGGAAATATCATCCTGCCCAAACGCATTTTGCACAGCTGCTATAAGTTTTTGCCCAAACGCCTCACGTCCGCCCTCCCTATCCTCCACGCGAAGAAAAGCGCATGTCTGAAGGAATTCGTTCTGAATGCGCTTCCCAGCAGTGTCCAACTGTTGCTGGTGACTGACCCTTTTCCTCGCCTTACCCTCTAGTTTAACAGAGGCCGGGTCCCTTACTGGGGGCTCCGTACCGAGTTGCACATTCCTGGGGGGGTGCCACGCAGCAAGTTTACGAACCTTCAGCCTCCAAGCCCTCCTTACTGTTAGCCAACTGTAACCACCCTTGTCTCTCCAACCCGGCCGCAACAAGGTCCCTTGCAAAAGCATCACGCAGTCGCTTACCTGCCCAACTATGGACGACGCTGCGTGCCAATTTCAGGGGGCAGCATTCCAAATAGGACCCTTTTAGGTATACGATGGTCTGGCATTCTCCCTACATGACCCAACCATTGCCAACGAGCCTGAGACACCAACTCAGCAATTGTTGGTTCCCCCAACCACGCTCGGAGTGCATCGTTGGACAAGCTATGCTCCCTCTGATACCTAATCCCATATCCAGACAGTCTATGGAGGCATATGAAATGAAACCTTTCAAGAGCTTTCCTAACTGGATAAGTGTGCGTCCGCACCTCCGCTCCATATAGCACCACAGACAACACACACGCACTATACACCCGGATCTTTGTAGACAACGACAGCTGTTTGAGGCTCCAAACAGAGCTGTTAAGCGACCAGAAAGCCTTTCTCGCTTTTTCCAACCGTTCCCGGACTGCAGCATCACCAGATCCTGTGCGCTGTAAAATTACCCCAAGATACTCAAACCTGTCAACAAAGTCAATTCGCGAGAACCCTTCAAATTCTTTCACTTCAATAGCCGGGCGAGGTCCCATTTCAGTGCTTAAAACCTTGGTTTTATCAACGGACAAATTGAGGCCCCATGTGCATAAATGGGCTTGAAAATTAGTTGCCTTATCCCTCAAGTGAGCCAGCGTACTAGCAACAAGAGCCGCATCATCCGCGTAACCCAATTCTTCAAGTTTCAATTCCTCCCAAATTATATACTTCTCATGAGGATCCCGAGGTAACAACGACCCATCAATGCACGTAAGCCACTCGACACCACCCCCAGACTCCTCCTGCCACGCCTCAAGAACTGCAGACAAGAAAATGTTAAAAAGCAGGGGAGCTAAACAACACCCTTGTCCCAACCCCGTGGAAAGCTCAGGAATCTGAGAGATTGCCTTCAACGCAAACCCGTGCCGATTTACCTGTGTAGTACATCTGGATCAAACGTAACATTTTGCAAGGAACGCCTTTTTTTCGTAAAGCTGCCCACAAACCAGCCCGAGAAACAGAATCATAAGCCTTGACTAAGTCGACAAACAGAACATGAAATGGGGGCTTCTTGTAGTCAGCAATTTCCATGGCCAATTTAGGCGCAAAAACCATGTCCATGGTACCCCTTCCAGGCCGGAACCCGCATTGTGACTCAGGCAAAATTTTTCGTTCCTCAGCATAGGTTGCTAGCCGAGCATTGAGAATCCTAGAGAAAACTTTTCCAGGGATAGACGCCAGTAAAATTCCCCTCCAACGCTTACAGAACGTTAAATCACCCCGCTTTGGCAATGGTACCAAATCAGCATCCTTCCAAATTTGAGGCATAAGCTCGTATTCCATCCACACCCTCGCGAAAAACTCGTGCAGCGCCCTAAGGGTCCACCGCCATTAAAATTTCAGCCTTAATGCCATCCGGACCCGAAGCCCTGCCCGTTTTGGGCCTACCCAACGCAGCAACAGTTTCACTCAAGGAAGGAACCTGGTCCAAGCAAACCGCCTGTGGAAGTTCTGATATCTTATCCATCTGCGCCTGGGAAGCGACGGCCGGTACGTTCAGAAGTTCATCAAAGTACTCCCTCCATCGAGAAACCCGACCAGAAAGTGTGAATATCAGTTCACCTTGCGCATCCCTTAATTTGCCAGGAACGCCGCGGTCAGTAGCCAAGACTCGTCGGAGCTCCCTATAGCCTGCGAACTGATGATTGTGATCCTTGGCATCAACCAGCTGTTGTATACTCTCCGCCTTAGCAGCCCACCATGTGTTATAAGTATTCGTCTGACCTCCTTTTTGGCGTCCCCACAGGCTCGTTTATACTCCTTTGGCTGACATCCTAATGGGGACCTGCTCGCAGCTTCTCTTTTTTGAAGGCCAAGTTCCGCTAGCCTGTCCGCGTTTGCTTTTTTCCATTCCGGCATCGGGTCCCGGCTTACCTCCCCCAAACATTTACTAGCCACTCTTCTGACTGCATAACCAAAAAGTTCATAAGCTTCGTCAAAGAAACCTTCCGCCATAAGGGAGTGTAACTGTGTATTCAAGTCATCCACCACCGCCTGTGTTGTGAGCCCTTCCACCTGCAACCTACTGACTCTAGCCTCCCACCCCCCTCCATCAACCGAACGGTAAAACTTGCCCAACGTCGCTTTGGGGGGAACCGCAAATTGAACTTTGAGGAAACGATGGTCCGTGTTGTGATTATAGCCCGTCATGACCTTTACGTCTGTAACAAGTGCCTTGGATTGTTGTGAACAAAGAATATGATCTATTTGGAACCATCTTTTCGAGGCCTGGTGGATCCACGTCCCATATAATCGATGCTGATAGAAAGTACTTGCGATTTGCAACCTTTCCCGCCTGCTAGCACAGAAGTCCGGAAGTCTAACGCCATTTTCATTACGCTCGGGAAGCCCCTAGTAATTACCCACCATTTCCCTCACTGTTGGCACCCCACTTCCCGCCTCCACCTCCGCATCTGCCACCCCGACCCTCGCATTAAAATCCACCAAAATAATTAACTCATCCCGGGGCGACACTTTATCCAACATCGCTCCTAAATCCTCATTAAACTGTTCCTTTTCCGACTCCGCACAGCGAAACGTTGGCGCATAGCACGAAATGACGCTAAAAAACCTGCCCCTGACCTGCAGCCGCAAGCGCAACAGCCTCTCCCCACCAAACTCACAGAAACTGTCCGCCTCTCGCCAAGCACGCGCCATGTCAAGATTAAGCAACACACCCGCGCCGTACATCGCCCTTTCCGAGGAATCAGGTATCCCGAAAACACAAACAACCAGTCCTGGAAAACAGGAAATGTACCCTCTCCTTTCCAACGGTGTTCCGAAATTGCACACAGTGAAATGTTTCGATTGCTAAGTTCCTCACACAGCACATCAATTTTGGTTGGGTCTTTTCCCTTGATTTGCACGTTTCCTTGGTTGGTAACTTCAATATAGGAGTGAAGCGTCTGCACATTCCAACATCCCCAAGTAATCTTTGATCCCCTCCGCCATCGTTGCCCTTGCTGCCTCCTCCCCTGTCCGGGAGTCACAGTTGGATGGGGAGGCTCCGATGACATGTCTCGAGTATTCATAACCCGTGCGGTAGCTAGAAAGTAAGTATGAACGGGAAGCCAACCCGAACATACTGTCGGCAAGGGCCTACCTAGGATTGCCTCTCGAAAGAGGCCCCGGATCCTAGTTCAGCAACCCTGCCCCGCGGCTTCTGTTAGCCTCCTGCCTACTCACATCTATCCAAGCCCAACACAAACACAAACACAACACAACGCCAAGCTCACTGAAATGCAGGAGTTGCCACCCCTCCACCACGTTGAGGAGGAAGTCCGACTTTGGAGGGGTCATTGTATGTATGTATGTATGTATGTATGTATGTATGTAATGTAATGTAATGTAATGTAATGTATGTATGTATGTATGTATGTTTGTTTGTATTGTATTGTATTGTATATAATGTATGTAATGTATGAATGAATGTAATGTATGAATGTATGTATGTATGTATGTTATGTAATGTAATGTAATGTATGTAATGTAATGTATGTATGTAATGTAGGTAATGTAATGTAATGTAATGTAATGTATGTATGTATGTACGTATGTATGTATGTATGTATGTATGTAATGTAATGTCATGTAATGTATGTAATGTAATGTATGTATTGTATGTAATGTATGTAATGTATGTAATGTATGTAATGTATGTAATGTATGTAATGTATGTAATGTATGCAATGTATGCAATGTATGCAATGTATGTAACGTATGCAATGTATGCAATGTATGGAATGTATGGAATGTATGTAATGTATGTAATGTATGTGGTGTATGTAGTGTATGTAATGTATGTAATGTATGTAATGTATGTAATGTATGTAATGTATGTAATATATGTACGTATGTACGTATGCACGTATGCACGTATGTACGTATGTACGTATGTACGTATGTACGTATGTACGTATGTACGTATGTACGTACGTACGTACGTGTGTAGGTATGTATGTATGTATGTATGCCTGTATGTAATGTATGTAATGTTCGTAATGTAATGTAATGTAATGTAATGTAATTATGTATGTATGTATGTATGTATGTATGTAATGTAATGTGATGTGATGTAATGTAATGTAATGTATGTATGCATGTATGTATGTAGGTAGACGTACAGCAAGGGCCAACCAAGCAAAACACAAAAACAAACAGCCGGTCTATATGCAGCACGTTATAGGATGCTTAACTTATCACAGAACACGCGCAAGGTGAACTCCGAGAAATATTTCAACTGTGTGTTGCATTGTGCCTGGAAGAACATGCCGATGATGGCCATCAT